GAACCTGTCCAAAACACTATCGCCGCACCCCATATGGTAGCACGTGGGTTACACAAGAAGAGCATACAGATGAATTTAAATAATCTCAAAGGAAAAGGAGAAATGTCTTCAGAGGAGTCGGCATCTAAATGTTTGCTGAGGATGTGCTCATCCATGTCCCCAGTCCTGGAGCCCAGTTCTGTCCTTAGCGGAGCCGGGCAATGGCTTTATTCTGCCCGAGTTTCTCGTTAGTTCAGGTGCCCTTTTCTGTCTACATTTCCCTGCACTCCTGCCTGGCACTTGCTATCCAACAGCTGAATAAGAACGAGTGGAGAGCATGCTAATGCATCACAAATGTAATTGCTGCGTGCTCCTTAGAGTATTGTCAGGAGCATTTCGTTTTAAGGTTCCACCAGGAATCATGTCAGTATTTGAAGTGGGCTATTTTCTATAACCCACATCACTGTGATTCTCAGACATTAAAGCACTAATTGCAGCTTGAGAATTTCATTTCAGTAGTGATTGTACTACATCTCTAAAATATGCATTCTTGAGAGCAGGTTTTGTCCAAGTGACGCCTGGGCCCAGACATCTCCATGCAGAAAGTAATTGCTTACAAGAAAACATATTTTAATATTTGATTTCAGAATGAGACCAGCCCAATAAATTAGCATAATTAACATGTAACAAGCTCAAATGCCCTGAATGATAGCCTCAGGATCATTTGTTAGGTTTCTTAGAAGTTTGGATCTTTATTCCAGACAAGCACTTGCAGAACTTGCTGGTGCTTTAATGATGCTGGGAACCTCTGACCTCAGTTCATGGTATTTCTGAACACCATATTGTCGGCTCAGTCACCAATGAAACATGGTCTTTGAGCCATCTCTAACGGCCATTAATTATTCTTAAGCCTCACTAGACCTGGATGGTGTTGCTAAATGGTTAGAGCATCAGTCAGGGCACCAAAGGGTCTTGGGTTTGATTCCTGGTCAAGGACACGTACCTGGGTTGCAAGTTGATCCTCAGCCCCAGTCAGGGGCACGTGTGGTAAACAGCCAATCCAAGTGTCTGCCTCACATCGAGGTCTCTGTCTCTCCCTCTTCTCTCTCCGCCTCTCTTTCTCTCTCCTCCCTCCCTCCCTTCCTCTCTTTGTAAAAAAAATCAATGAAAAAAACATCCTGAGGGAGGATCAGCAAGAACAACAAAAAAGGCTCCCTATGCCACTTCTATGAAGAGTCCCTGGCTATGAATGCCAAAAATTCAAGTAAATATGAAAACAATATAATCCAGTCCATTTTTTCAGACAGAACTTGAGAATAATACAAAACATCTTCTGCTTTTTTATATGAAATATAAACATTTATTCTTTTTAAAATACATTTTTATTGATTTCAGAGAGGAGGGGAGAAGGAGAGAGATAGAAACATCAATGATGCCTCCTGCACTCCCCCTACTGGGGATCAAGCCCACAACCTGGGTATGTGCCCTTGTCCAGAATCGAACCTGGGACCCTTCAGTCCGCAGTTCTATCCACTGAGCCAAACCAGCCAAGGCTAAACATTTATTCTTTGGCAAAGCCTTAGTGTCTCTGAGCCTCAGTTTCCCCTTCTGTGCAATGGGGATAATCCTGTCTAACTCAGAGAGTTATTAGGAGACTTAATTAAATAATGCACAAAAGTGCTAACCCAGTACCTCACATGTGTACCAACTGTGGTTTATAAGAAACTCTTGATATTCTTAGTACCACATGGCCAAGAGTTGGAGCCATCAGGACAGAAGAACCAAGAGTGTTGATTGCAGTGCTGCCCCCACCCCAGGCGATGGGTCTCAGCCCAGGGTCTTTAAGGCACGTCAACCAGCTTTCAGGCTTGGAAATGCTGTTTCTACTCTTCTGGGCATCAGAACCCTGCTATTTGTGACGCAGTCACCTCTCAGGAAAGGAACAACAGTTGGAAAAAATGGTGATTTCTTTCCCCACAACAAAAAGAAAACACAGAATCGCAAAAGCTAAAGAAGATAGTGAGCAGAGTTAAGTGCCCCTAAGAGAATGGGAAAGTATTCTAGCAGCCCCGCCCCCAACCTGTGCTCACTTAGCTGACATTTCCACCAGTGCTCACAGCCCCAACCGGCCTGGGCACCCTGCTCCTTCCCACCGCTCCTCTGGTCACAGATTCGCCATCAGAACCCCCTTCCTGGGCTCCCCTCTCTCCACCTTGTCTGTTATCCCCCGCCTGGGGGTCCTCTCAGGGGGAGACACTCAGGGGAGGACAGCTCTTTAAGAAGTGGACACCCCCCTCTTAGATAGGGAACCCTCAGATACATACCGCTTTGAAGCTGTTCCTTTTCTGCGGTGTGATTGGGAAGCCGGACCTACGTAACGTTTAGAGGACTGTGTCAGGGACCACACGAAATGGAGCCAGAGTCTGAAGGTCTCCACCCAAATCACTGGCAGAGGAAACAGAACCAAAACTGATTCACTGCAGATTAAATAAGGCCAAGAAGATGCTGGTGACAAACAAAACAGGCACTGTCCCACATCCATGCATAACCCTGCCTCCCTTCTTAGCCCGGGGAGTTCTCGGGGTCCTGTGGGCTAATGAGATCGCTTGCTCAGAGCAAGTGCTACACTGCCACTACAGTTCCCTTTCTAATATGTTCCCATCACAGCCCTCTGCAGCTGAAACATCTTTGAGTTTCGTACAGAAATGCACACATCTTAACGTGGCATTCAAGGTCCTTCCCAGTCTGGTCTAAGCTCTGACCCCCTCAGACTCACATGGGTCCCAGACCTCATAACAAACTCAATCTGCAGTTCTCTTTCAGCCTCAAAACCTGGTTCTCCAACAGGTAACAAGCAGTGAGGATGCGGGGAATTCGGTGGGAATGTAGAATGGTGCAGCCACTGTGGGAAACAGGATTTTCCAAGATTAAAAACAGAACTGCTATGACCCAGCAATCCCACTTCTGAGCATATACCCAAAAGAATTGAAATCGGGATCTCAAAGGAACATCTGCACTCCCTTGTTCATTGCAGCATCATTCACAAAATGCTATACCAAAAACATGAAAACTCCTAAACTTTCAGCCACAGGTGAATGGACAAAAAATAAAAGTAGTATACACACACACACACACACACACACACATGCGCGCTCACATGTGCGTGTAAACTGTGGAATGTTATGCAGCCTTTAAAAAGGAAGGAAATCCTGCCATTTGCTACAACGTGGATGAACTTGGAGGACATTATGTTAAGTGAAGTAAACCAGACACAGGAGAACAAATACTACATGATCCCATGAGTATCAGGAAACTAAATTAGTCAAATTCATAGAAACAGCAGAATGGTGTTTACCAGGGGCTGGGGGGGATTGGGAGTTGTTGCTCAAAGAGTCAATACTTTCAAATATGCAAGAGGAGTAAGTCCTAGAGATCTGTTCTGAGCAGAGTGCCTAGAATTAACAATACTGTACACAATAGTATGTTTAAACATTTAAGAGGGTGAAAACCACATCAACCCTTGTTCTAGTGTGACCTCTCCTGATGCTCCCCAGGACCCCACACAGACCTGCCCCCCTGCTTTCGCATGGGCTCTGATCATTTTACCAAACATGTGGTCAGTTTCTGAGCTCAGAGAATCAGTGATTGAGAGACTCGGGTCAGTCGGCCTGGCCTCAGCAGCCGAGGGATCTTAACCATGAGCCTCAGTTTCCTCAGACATTCCATAGGGATGATGGTATTCCCTTCCCCACAGGCTTGTTCTGGGGATTAAATGTCTAATTCACCCAGCAACATTTTAAGGGTTCAGTGAATGAACTCTTGTTATTATACAGCATGTGTTCAGTTGTGTTAGTCAGTTGTTTGTATGCTTGTTTTCCCAGCTAGGTTGTGAATTTCCCACCTAGATTTTTCCCAGTTAGGGTAAAGCTTTATATGTGTCTCTCTCTTCCTGCTACTACTACTTGCAGTCAATACCTGTAATCAGATGAATTGAATTCACAGTCAATACCTGTGATCAGATTAATTGAATTGAATTGAACTGAACTGAACAGAGGTCCCACCAGACGGCAGGAGCTACCAGCCCAGGATTCTTTTGTCTGGAGCTCTACTCCAGGGCTGGATAGGCTGAAAAGAGCTCTCTATTTACGTCTGAGAAGCAGCTGATGGAGTCAGGGGTGTTCCCAGTTTCCAACCACTGAGTGGCCATTTGTCCTGGTGCCTCAACCATAGGTGAAAACAGATAGGAGGTGGCGATTCTTAAATGCCTATGTATGTTTGAGATTGAGTTGGGAAAGTGTCATGACTTCCAAATATCCATCAGATTCCAGATGGGAATCTGTAAACCTCAGAATTTTAAAAATATTTTTATTGATTGGTTTTAGAGGGGGAAGGGAGGAAGAGAGAGAGAGATTGATTTGTGGTTCCACCTATTCATGCACTCACCAGTTGATTCCTGTACGTGCCTCAACCAGGGATCGAACCTGCAACCATGGCACATGGGGACAACACTCTAACCAACTGGGCTACCAAGCCAAGGCTAAACCTCAGAATTTTAAGGGGATTGGATTCTGAAGAAAGGGAATGCCCAATTTCTAAATAATAAGAAAGAGGTATAGAAGAGGTACAGGAGAGCTGGACCTGGGGCTTGCTCAATATTTCAATATCCATAAGAGAGTCATTGAAGCATCAGGAAGAAAAATCAATGAGAGCCGAGTGAGTGTTGTTAGTTTCAGCAATATCTCAAGTATCTGGAAGGTAGCTATGAATGTATTTTATTTTAACAAATAGTCTTATTCTCCTCACTCTACCAGGTTCTCTAGTAACACCGAAGATTATTTTAAAGTCAAGTCTCTAGCCCTAAGCCTTATCAAGCCATTAGTATTTCATCTAAAAGAATATAACATTTTGACCTGAAATCTAAGAGTAAGATTTGGACCAAAGCATTCAAAGACGAGTGTGTTCTACAGCTGGAAGACAGTGAGTAGAATAAGATTTTTACGTTCTCTTTCTTTTTCTTTTAGAAACAGGGAAGATTGACCAAGAGATTCACAAGTACAACACCCCAGGATTCACTGGGTGCCTCTCCAGAGTTCAGTTCAACCAGATCGCACCTCTCAAGGCGGCCTTGAGGCAAACCAACGCCTCGGCGCACGTCCACATCCAGGGCGAGCTTGTGGAGTCCAACTGCGGGGCCTCCCCGCTCACCCTCTCACCCATGTCGTCTGCCACCGACCCCTGGCACTTAGACCACCTGGATTCAGGTAAAGTCTAAAGCAGCGTTAGACAGATTGCTTTATTTCTTTAAACCTCAGTTTCTTCGCCTGTAAAATGGGGTTAATAACAGCACCACTCTGGTAATGTAGTTGGAGGATTAAGAGCAAAGGAATGTGTGGGTACATGAGTTCTTAGCACAGAGCTGAGCACATATCAAGTGTCACAAGTTCCCACCATCATTCTTGCTCAGTGCGAGACGTGAACAAGCCAGTGCCTGCACTGCTGGCTGCAACGGGACTGCTGAGTGATCTGATCAAACCACTCCCTCACGTTTGCCTTTGTGACTTTCTGATTTGCAGCCCCTTAGTCCAAGTTCTAAGCTCAGAAGGAAAACTTTAAAGCAATACAGGGATTTCATCACCAGTACTGAGTTTTATATAAATAGCCTTCTAGCTTTTTAAGTGATGGGTTTAGACTTCCAAAGCTCAGTGGATTGAGTCCCACTTCTGTAGTTGGTAAGATATGTGCTTCGAATGCACAGGGCTGAAATGAAAGGATGTAGCTGTTGTCTGCAAAACTAACTGGATGCAAATTCAAGGTTCTCATAACAGGGACTGATGGGGAGCCTTCTCGCTCTACCCAAACTAACCTTGGGCAACTCAGCTCACGTCTGTAAGCCTCTGCCTTGCCACCAGAGGCTTGGCGATGTGGAGGTCCCTAAGTGATCTCCAAATCTAACATTCAGAGGGTCTCCAAAGCAATGTATGATGCTAAAGACAGGAATAGGACGAGCAGGGGGCAAGGTGGCATAAGTGCCCTCACCAGCAGGTCATACAGGGGCAGGTATATTCCAAACTTAGTCCTCAATTTCCCCATATCTCAAGTGGAAATGCTAAGACTAACCCATAGAATTATATTTGAGATTATGTATTTAAAGCACTTAGTGCAGTTACAGACATGTAGCAAGCTTCACTAAAGTTTAGCTGCAATACTATTACCAATGTGGTCATTATTGTTAGACACAGTTTGCTATGAGGCTTGCATGTCCATTAAAGACTTCCAGGTCCTCCCCCACCCTAATGTCTAATTCATAACAATTCCTAGTGTAAGCGTGACACGTTTGATTGCTTTTGTGTATTCCAGTCCCGCGCACCATGTGTCTCAGCTTTAAGCGCAACTCTCATTGTGGCCCTTGCCAGGATTTGTGCTGCAAAGCTTTGTGAAGCTTCCACAGAAGCCAAATTGCCCCGTTGTCAGAATAGCCAGTTTACAGACTAAACAATTGTTCCTTACACATGGATTCCCATAACACAGTGAGGGGTGCTGTGTGCCAAGGGTGCATCTGAAGAATTCCCTTCCGTGAATGTCGCTGGACCGCTCAGTGGATTGGTTTCCTTGTGGGCTGGAATGGCAGGAAGCATTCCTAATGCTGAGAGAAGGAAAACAGGAATGAAAACACGAGATGATAAAAGACAGATGTCAGGGCTACTGAGGAACAGACTTTCCAGATAAATTCCTCCCAAAGCCAGAGTGGATGGGGGTCGCACAGGAACTTTGAGACACACAGGTGCTTAAGCCATTCCAGGTACTCCCTGCATGAGGCCCTGAGCACGTGTGGTCTAAACTGGCTGCCAAAAAATTAGTTTCAAAAACATCTTCTAGATGCTACTTTGGGCCAATACAAGCTCATAGTCATTATGTCCTAATTAGCAAATTATTTGCTTTGTGGACTGTGAGATACAGTTGTGGGAACCAAACAGTTTGGATTCATTTGGGCTTTTTCAACATCATGATTTCTGCATGACAATTTTAATCTTTTGATTGATATAATGAACAAGTATATAAGGAACACTTCTGTTATTATCTGGTGTTCAAATCAAATTTCTGCACCCCAGGTATTATGGTTGGCCGGTACTATAGACTAGGGGTCCTCAAACTTTTTAAGCAGGGGGCCAGTTCATTGTCTCTCAGACCATTGGAGGGCCGGACTATAGTTTAAAAAAAAAAAACCTATGAACAAATTCTTATGCACACTGCAGATATCTTATTTTGAAGTAAAAAAACAAAACGGGAACAAATACAATATTTGTATTTGCATGTGGCCCGCGGGCTGTAGTTTGAGGACCCCTGCTATAGACCATAAGGTCAATTTGCAGAAAAATGTCCACTTGTACTTGGCAGAGGTCTTACCTGGTGTTAATCAGTTGCTGTATTGATCTCATCACCATAATTTATCCCATAATTGGAATTCCCAATTAATTTCCATAATTATTAATTGAAAGGACAGAAAACAAGCTTCTGAAGTCTTGTTTAGATAATATGATTTTATTATTTTCCTTTAGGTGAATGGGAACATGAGAAAGAATGGGAGGCAGGCGCTGGACGTGGGGACAGAGAAAGATGGAGACAGAAAGGATGGTCACTAACTAGCAGCTCCAGTGGCTTAGCATCAGGAAGGAAAGCTTTTCCTCTGCCCTCTTATGTCCAGTAACGAGGGGCCTGCAGATTAAACCGATAAAAGACATTAACAGAAGAAAAAAGTTTATAGATGTGAAAGCTTATAAAAGAGTTAGCTTAATAAATGGTTAAAGGCTTATATGCCTTACTCAGGGGGAACAGGGAGAGAGCAGAAGAGGTGTCTACGGAGAGAACAAATGGGTTCCTACAAGAACAGAAGAGAGAGAAGCAAGTTTGTGATCATGCTTGTTTATGCAGGTGGGAGTGGTCTTTCTTCTTTAAGCCATAAAACTCCCCTGGGGAGGGCATTTATGGTATTTTTACTCTTGGTCTCCTTCCAAAGGGGAGTAAAAGCCACTCAGAAGGGGGAATTTATGGCAGCCTCATTTCTACGTTTAATCAGATAACAGAAACTCCAAAAAAATCTCTTTCTGCAGCTGTTGAATTGCAAATGTCCTCAGTTTAAACTAATCTTTATATCAACTCTGGGGTTCTAAGTGTACCCCCACATCAGCAAGTGCACCCTAGTTTCTGTGAGCCTCAGTTCAGCATTCGGGATTCTGATTGGAGGGTTTTGCTTTCTTCAGATAATCTTCCTGTGAGAGTAGAATAAGAATCCTCGCTGTCAGATAGTCAGAAACAAAGCGAGAGAATATAAACAAAACGCCACTGCTGGCTGTAAATCATGTCTTCCCTAAGTCTGTGTAGATACAGGATAGAGAGAGGACAAGGGTGAGGGCGGATCGGTCCTGGTTTGAATAAAGGACATTTGAGAACATCATGGCATCTGGTGCCTTGGAAAGGGTTATCCTCAACCAGAAGATGAGCATTTGGAAGCTCGTTAGAAATGCAGAATCTCAGGCCCTCACCCAAGACCCACTGTGTCAGCATCTTTTATCAAGATTCCCAGGTGACTTACCATATACACATTCAAGTTAGAAAGCACTCACCTAGTTCAGTGGTCCTCAATCTCAGATGCACTTTCAAAGTACCTGGGGAGCTTTCCAAAACCCCAGTGTGCAGCCTACACCCCTGACCAATGAAATCTGATGCCCTGGGGGTGAGATTCAGGTGTCCATCTATGTGAGACCTCCCCCAGGGCGGGGGGGGGGGTACCAATGTGTAGCCAAGATTGAGGATCCCTCTCCAAATAAGAGTGAAGCTTACTAATAGCCCCCTTGGTGAGCCCTTTTAAATAAGGTTACCAAAAGAAAAGGAAATTAATACCCAAATAATGCAGCAACAGCAACAAAAACAGTTTATGAAAAGCAACGAAGCCTTTAGATGGGGAAGTCTCAAATTGAAAAGCTGTAGCAATAAGCTTGCAAAAGGTTGGGCTCCTCTGACCATCTTCTAAGGAAGCTGATGGAGACACAGAAGTTCTCTTCTACACTTGAGGGCAGCCAATCGGCTTCTTGAAACCGGAAAAGCAGACTTCAAACAAACCAACAAGAATTCCACAGTTTGGGACCGAACTCTAGCTCTCATGAAAGGGTGTCATTATAGAAGTTGTTGACCCCAGGAAGGAACCGCAGTTTGAGGAAGATGTCCAAATATTATTCAATTTATTGAATCAACTGCAAACGTAATTTGAAAGGATATTGGGGGGGGTGGTGCTACTTAACATGAAGATGTGGCCCTGCCAGTGTTGCTCAGTTGGTTGAGCGCCAGTTTGATTTCTGGTCAGAGCACATGCCCAGGCTGTGAGTTTGGTCCCCGGTCAGGGTGTGTATAGGAGGCAATGGATCGCTGTTTCTCTTTCACATCCATGTTTCTCTCTCTCTCTCCCAAACCAATAAAAACATTTTTTTAAATGAAGTATGTGCATCTTCAAAAATAATGCACACCCCTGGCTGTGAAGATGGCCTCAGTATTGAAGGGATGTCAGTGATAAACCAAAGCTACTCACTTCACACCCTCACCAGGGTATGTGCTTTTTGGAGATTAGAATTCAAGACGTCCACCCCTAGGTCTCGCGTTCTTTGTGCTCCCTGACATTTCTCTTACTTAGATGATATCAGATGGTAAAAACAGAAAATATATTCTAAGTTATGCTGGCTTCGTGTAATAAGATCCTTTCTTTCTTCTATGGCACTGCTGGCTGAGTTATTCATTTCCTCTCTGACGCTTTGTGGACTGTCAGTATTTTCCAAAGCAAGAGACACATGTAGTTGGCAGGTTGAGGTGTTTTATCACATTCCCAGGTAGGAAGTCTGACTCCTGCAGTGCAGCCTGGTGCCTTTGATAGGGGGTCACCAGGTCACTGTGGAAAGAAAATAGACATGGCATTGCAAACAGTGTAAAGTCACATCCTGTTTATTTCTCTTTCAGCCCCTCAAATTTTGTCAAAGAGAAAGTCTCCGATTGGTTCTGACATGCCCTTAACACCCCTCCCCCTTGCTGTTAACCTTCATTAAAGAGAGAACAGGCTTCTGTTTAGAGCCCTGACAGAATAAATAGAATCACTCAGTAGGTTTAAAAAGTTGTATCAGTGTATTTATTTAAATTAGAAATTGGATCAATTTAGTGACAATAAGTAAATAAATAATCATTAGATTTTGCATGGCTAATGGCAAAAAAATGTGAAGGC